ATATATACATATTTTATTGAAAAAAAAATGACGAAATATAGAAAGGACAAAAGTAAAAAAATATTATTTAAAATAATGAATTTATGTCATTTCATTGTATAATTAGATAAATTAATAAAATTTTTAAAAGGAGAGAATTTATATAAAATCTTTAAATTATATTGAGATAGTTTATTTTATAATAATTTATCATTTTAAAATTATAATTATTTAAAATTTCTTCAAAAATTTTAATTTATTATTTTTTTAATTTCAAAACAGAATAGGTAAAAACGAAGGAGATGCTAACGGATCGATTTTTTATTTTCACTCTCATTTTGGGCAACTGTTTTCGTTAGCACCGCACTTCTGGTGGGACATAGACAAAAAAAGACAAGGGTCAGCGGAAACTCGGAGTGGTAATATAACTAAGAGAATTGGACAACTTGCTGTAGGTTAAAACCCTACCCTGCGGTCCCGTAATACCTATGCGGGCGCCACTGCCGTCGCCCACTCAGGCCACTGAGCAGCCATCCTCCACCTTCCACCGTCCTCGCTCTCTCTCCTCGCGCTCTTTCCAGCTCTCTCTCTTATGGTTCATGTGAAGGGCCAAAAGGGAAGGGAGAGCGAAAAGATAGAAAAGGAGTCGCTCGCTGCTTATGATAGAGATTTTCAGTATTTATTGTATTCAGGTGGCGGTTTACCTCACTCATCTTCTTCTCTCTCTCCTCTTACGCATAAGAGGTCCAGATTTCTGGTATGGAATATGTAGTGACTGAGCTGCGAAGTTTTTAAATTTGGGTTTCGTAGCAAAGTTCTAAACTTTTCCGAGAGTATTTCACGGTCCGAGAGTATTTCACGGTATGGTTTTCCGCTGTCTTTAATTAGATTTCCTTGGCCGAATCCTTGAATTTTTTGTTTTCTTTTTCATAGGCGAGGTTTTGGAATAGATATGCATCGGATTTTTGCTATAGTTTGAGAAACCCGTAGGTTGGAATGAGAGGCATACCATGTTTCCTGCAAAACCTGGAAAAGTTGGTAACTCGCACCCGCTTTCAGCCAAGAAATTTGGCTCTTTTAGGTTTTGAATATGACCAGGGCCATCCTCCATGGTTTTCTGAAGGATGACTCTCGTTCTGTTGGTGCTTTACACGTCGAGGAGCATGGAACCATAAGCCAGCATCTTCGGAATCATATTCACCTCACAAACTGCATCCATCTCAAGAACCATATGCATCGCCACAGCCCAATTCAGGCGGAAAGATCTCTCATGAGGGACTTGGTTGTTCTTCAGAGGTCAAAGTCTCTCCGAGACCCCTCGACCAGCCCTCCCTCCTGGCTTTCCCCTTTTGTTATTGCCACATTGGTGAAGAGATCAGGAAAGGATGCTGGAGTTCACAGTGGGAGAAGATCTATTGGTGTTGATTTGGTAGGGGATGCCGGTCGGTTATCTGTCAGCCATCCCAAGGTTGCTGGCTTGGCCGCATTAAATGTTCCTCCAATAGGAACAAGTGGTGATCACAGTGCTGGTAGGGAAAGTAGGGATGGTGAAATGAGAAAGGAAGAAGATGGTAGCAGATTGAACCAAAGTGATAAGGCATCTCATTCTAGTCTACTTGGGAAGAATCCTCGTCTCAAGACACTCTCAGAGCAATTGGAAGAAATTCCCAGTCAGACTGATAATGAGATAACAAAACCTTCTCGCCATTGCCAACAAAGAGTCCAAAGAGGCGGAGGCGGTGATAGAAGAAGTAAAGAGTTGAAGGCAAGTGGTCATGCTCAGCTCAGTGGGTTTAGTAGAACGAAGAGGCGAAAGTTCAGAGGTTCCAGGAGGACTCATGGTTCAGTAGATTTAAGGGGTGGTAGAGTGCACAATGATATGTCGGTTGCTTCAACTTCGTTTCCCCAAGATTTTACACATCACAAATGTTGTTTGGGGGAGGAAAAGGAAGATCAAGATAATGCTGAAATGGATGTCAGTCAGGCTCCAAGGCATGGTTGTGGGATTCCATGGAATTGGTCAAGGATACATCATAGAGGTAAGACATTCCTGGATATTGCAGGCAGAAGCTTGGCTTGTGGGTTGTCTGAGTCGAGATTGAGGAAAGATGGAAGTTCTATTCAGCATAGCCAAAAGGAAAAGGATAATTTTAAAAATCCTATTACATCTCAACTATTATCTTCATCAACTGGATATGATTCAGAGGCCCTTCCATTCTTATTAGATCCATCTGGATCACCCGAAGGTAATTTGAATTCTTGTATGTCTCGGGCTTGCTCCGGGGAGCTCAGTATTTATGTTAATAACTGTCATGAACTAGATTCCGATCTTGTATCAGAAGCAAAATCAGGCAACCAGCACAATTCTACAGGGTATTGCAAAGGTAGACACAAAAATCTCACACAAAAGTATATGCCCAAGACATTTAAAGATCTTGTGGGACAAAACTTGGTAGTCCAGGCGCTTTCGAATGCTGTCTTGAGAGGAAAAGTTGGGTTGATATATGTCTTCTATGGGCCCCATGGAACTGGTAAAACCTCCTGTGCTCGAGTTTTTGCAAAAGCTCTGAATTGCCAGTCCACTGAACATGCTAAACCATGTGATGTGTGTAATTCCTGTATTTCACACAAGCTGGGCAAGAGTAAAAATTTGATTGAAGTGGGAGCAATTAGCACGTTTGACACTGGGAGAATTATGGATGCTCTAAATAATGCAATGCTATTCCCATCAACATCCCAGTACAAAGTTTTCATTGTTGACGACTGTGATACCTTGTCTCCTGATTTTTGGATGGCAATCTCGAAGGTTGCTCATCACGCTCCGCGACACGTGGTTTTTATCCTTGTCAGCTCTTCTCTCGATCATTTGCCTCATCTAATCATATCTAGGTGCCAGAAATTTTATTTTCCAAAAGTCAAGGAGTCAGATATCATCCTTACTTTGCAGTGGATTTCAACTAGTGAGGGCCTAGAAATTGATAAAGATGCACTGAAACTAATTGCTTCACGATCAGATGGATCCTTAAGAGATGCAGAGATGACCCTCGATCAGCTCAGTTTGCTTGGACAAAGAATTTCTCTTCCTCTTGTCCAGGAACTTGTAAGTAATTTCTAGATCATTCATTTTTGTCTCTTCTACCATGTCATCTAGAACTATATTTATGTACTAATTTTTGTGACAAGTTTTATGAAATTTATCGGACGGAAGCATATTGACTAAAATGAACCTTAAGATCTTGTTTCTATTACTTGTGAACTTTTTTCCTTACATTATTACTAAAGATGTATGAATTTCAAATTCTTGAAATGTAGCATAATGCAATGTAGAGCATACCTTGCTTTCTAATGCCACTTATGATAGTTTATTAATGCTAAATTCCTGAACAATGAAACATAATGAAATGTAGAGCATATTTGCTTCCTAATGCTACTCATGATACTTTATGAAGCTTAGCACTCTCTTGTTTGCAATGTATCATAATGAAAGTTGTGCACTGCCATTCTTATACGACCATATCTTCCTCATATTTCTACTTTATAAAGAAGAAATATGTTCATTTTATCTATAGGAAGTGGATCTTGATAATATAATTTGTTTTGCAAAGAGTTTCTTAACGTTCTCTGAGCAAAACTCAGGTTACTATCTTTTAAAATCTGTTCAATTTTTAAAATTGTAGAATATATTTAACTTTATCCTATATTCTCATTATTCAGAATTACAGAGAAGTTTGGAAATAATTAATCTTCTGTAATAAACATAGATCAACTTTGGAACTCCCACCAGGGCTTACTCAGTTTTTACTTTTTAGTCTATCATATGATAATTATAAATGCTTTCATTCTTTAAAGTTTGTTATAACTTTATGTACCATACAACATTATCATTTTAATTAGTCATATCCAAGCTATTTGGGACTAGTTTATGAATCCTCTTCGTTCTAATTGAAAGCTAAATGAGCTATTAACTTCACGGTTATAATTTTTTTTCTTCATAATTCTGGATAATCTATTTTAGTCATTTTCTTCCTAATTCTTTAAGATAAATTCAATCTAATCGCATTTTTGGTTATGCTTCCTTTGTTTATTTATAATATATATGTCTATTTCTTACTATCTTATCTTTAATATGTGCTATTCTAATTATCTCTTACATAATCATTTCACTGTATTTTTTACTTTTATTTATAGCTATCTTATTCTAAATTAAAAATAATGCCCACAAACAATATCAATTAATTTGAGTGGCATTTGTCATATAAAAGAATAAATATTTCTAATGAAGACCACTCATCATTAAATTCTTAAATGTACTTTATTGAGAATTATATTATTTTGGAATTCATCGAATTTTGGTGCTGAAATAATTTTAGTGATGTAAATGAATGTCAATGATTTTGATTTGCATTTTGGTCACACAAAAAATAAAAAAAATAAAAAGAATATGGATTGGAAAATTATCCTTTCCAATCACATGAGCTAGATCTATGAATTACTATGCTATTACACAGAACAAAGAAACGAGTAGTGGTAGTTGTCAAATCTTTATTTTTAGATTGGTAGTAAAGTAATAAATAGAGGTTTATGTAGAGAGATTAGCGGATAGTTTAGTGGTTAAAAGTAATCACTTTCTTATTAAATTAATGATAGGTATTATAGAGAGGCTCAGAGAGAAAAAGAATGAGAGTAATGAAGGGTGGGTGGGTTGGCTGTTTCTATTCTTCACTACCATACCCGAAATTGGGTTAGAATAGTGGTTTGCAATAGATGGGGAAGTGGAGTTTGATATCTACATGTTTCTTCTCTTTAGAGAGATATAATGAGATGCAGAGCAAACAAAGGTAGAAAAAAAGGGGAAGAAGTAGTATAATAGGACTTTACAATTTACTTGAGGACATGATAGTTGGGACCCCATGATATGATACCAAACTTCATGGCCTTAGAACGTGAAAATGAAAGCTTATTGATGTATAATTAGTGGACCCCGATACATAGGGCCTCCAGGTAATTTGTCTAATTAATATCTCATGCTACATGGACATGTGCATGCTATCTCATGTAACATGTAGACATACATTACTTGATGGGTTACTTGATATGCTATCTATTGATTCAAGATCCTATCTTAGATGCGTAATATCTTAAAACTCAGGCATCTTGAAATTGTTTATAGACCTCTCAATCATTTTCTCATATTGTGTGGCAATGTTCATGTTATATATCTATGGATCATCATCATCATCTTTTTTATCTCAATTACTTATGATTTTTTTTATGCATCCTCTCTTTCTATTCATTCGTGCATGTTGTTGCCCTTCGTGCTAAATTTAGTCTTCACAAATCATTTTGATCAACTTATATCCATGTTACCTTAGGTTTACTCTATCTCCTTCATAATCCTACAAAACTATTTTTGTCTATTTATCTAATGTTTGCATTTCTACCCTTTGTTTATATGTTCAATCATTAGAGTCTATTCTCAATTACTTCATTTGCAATACATTTCATTCTGATTATTCTTTTAATATAGTAATTTATTATTTTATTTTTCCTAGTTTAGTACACATTCATTTTTTCCCTCGTTTATATTATTCTCAACTTAGCTATCAACTATTTTTTAACTTCTCAACATTCGAATTCATAAATCATTACTAATTGAATTAAAGTTTTATAAAATTTATCTTTTCATATAATTTTTATCTCATAATACTCTTGAAATACTTCTTCATTCTAGCCACCTAAGCTTAACTCATCTATATTCCCATTTATCATTCTTATATATATATCAATTAATTGAAAAAAATGCAGATATACTTGAAGGGTAATTCCATTTCCTAGGGTGGCAGTCCTTGGAATGGGGACAGTGATCATATATTCTTTTCACGGTGTATCGTCTATTTATAAAACATATTTTTTTAACTGTGTTACGTTGGAAAATGTTATTCAAAATGTCTTTATTTTTAAATTTGGTAAAAGTTAAATATTTAATTTCTTTTTTGTTTTCATGGAAGCTAATTGTGTTTGATTAGCTTGATCAACGGGCCCAATTTTATTTGCACTATTCAGGTAGGTTTAGTTTCTGATGAAAAACTAGTGGACTTGCTTGATGTGGCTCTATCGGCAGACACGGTTGACACTATCAAAAGCTTAAGAGAGATTATAGAAGCTGGAGTGGAACCTCTAGCACTCATGTCACAACTTGCAACATTGATTACTGATATACTTGCAGGAAGTTACATATTTACAAGAGAAAGGCCTCGAAGAAAGTTTTTTCGCCGTCAAACTTGTGAGTAGATGCACCTTATGGTTCAACCTTTCATTTTCTGGAACATCCACAATCAAGTTGAGAAAAATTTCGTGTCTCTCTATTTAATGGAATTCTTTGTTTGTTACTGTTTTGTTCCCTTACAAACACTCTTTTTCATATTTTCATATGCTTTTGATTCAATGCCCAGTATCGAAGGAAGATATGGAGAAACTACGCCAAGCTTTGAGAACCCTTTCTGAAGCTGAGAAAAATTTGAGGCAGTCCAATGACAAATTAACTTGGCTCACAGCTGCTCTTTTGCAAATTGTTCCTGATCAACAATATACTCTGCCAACTTCTGTTGACACTAATTTGAACCAGACTCCATTGCTTGTTAACCATGCTGATGAGCGAATAGAAGTTGGGAATTCTGTTCATGAGGATGATGAGGCATTTTATAGTGATAGAGGATTAAACAGAAACTTAGAGCTTTATAGTCAGAGAGAAAGAGGAATTAAAAATGCCATGCACGCGAACAGTAAGAATGGCGATAGCAACAGCAACTGGAAGGAACGCTTTGAATACACTCCAAATGGAAAGGTGCACATTGCTCACACACCTGAAGCTTTGATGCGGTTGACTGGAGCCACTAAAGAAAACTTGAGCTATAAGTTTGACAGAAGATGTAAGGATTATGGAAAGATATGGCAAGAAGTTATTGAAAATATTCAACCGGATGCACTTAAACAATTTCTTTCGCAGGAGGGAAGGTTGAATTCTGTCCGCCTAGGTTCTGGTATGATCTTACTCTTTTAAAGATTTGTTTTCTCTGTTTCAATTTAAGATACAAGGATGCCTTGAATTTTCTAGCTGTATTGTAAATTTGCAGATATAATACCAGCATTTTGTAATTATAAAGCTATTGAAGATCTAATAGAAAAAACTTGTCTCATTTGGGGCTTGCATCTCTACCATACCTTCAGAACCAAGCTTGACCAATCAATAATCCATCATCATCATCGTCTTTATTAATCCTCAACACCGCCTTCATCACCATCACCGTTAAGTCAAATGATATGAGACAATAGCTAACTATAATTTGCAACTTTGTTTTTTATCAGTAATTACTAAAGTGAAAGTGAACATTCAGGTTTAATTATAAGATTATAAGATTATTTGACTTAAGGAAACGAACTCATTTAATGATAAAGATTGATTAAGCCTCATAAAATATGAATCAACTTCAAAACATGTCAGGCTCTTAAGGCACGAAATTCTATTCCTGAATGAACTTTTAAGCAGCTTGAACATACCCCAATAGTAAATTATGTTAAAATAAGTAGAGGTTTACAAACGAGCACAAAAACCTAACTGGCACGTTAAAGGTTTTGCTTGGGTTATCTGACGAAGCCCTTCTTTCTTGATGGTATTTATGTCAACATCAACTATGGTGACAGTCGAAGATCCCAAAGCCGTTGATGAACTTGAAGCGACTATGGTGGCAAACCTTCCTTGTATTGATAGTCACAAACCTCCCTTGTTTGATAAAAGTAGATCTTTTTTCACTTTCATAATTGGCTTGATCATGGGATGCTTATCTCGAGGGCAAATAATTTTGGGGAAGCCAATCTTATTTTTTTGTTTATGTTGTTCATGGTGCAACCAGAAATGTCAACCATAAAACATCGCCTTTCCCAACATATTAGGTGTATGTGGTAAGCCACAATGATAGTAACGAGAAACTTTGCTTTGATAGGGGCGTTATTATTCAATGAGAAGACTGTGACAGGTATCCATGAAATCATGTAGTGAAGTTACCACGGATGAAAAAGGCTTGTCAATACTTTACTAGAATTATATTGTTGTACAAATTTACAAGGTTTACTGATTATTGATATGGGAATTATGTAAGTTAGAATACCATTTCAGATTTTTGTGGTTAAAATTTTGATAAAGGATGCTGTTCTTCTTTCAACTGCAGCACCCACTGTGCAACTGGACTTTGGGTCACCTGATAGCAAATCCAAAGCTGAAAAATTTAGAGAACAGATTGTGCAAGCGTTTGCGTCTGTTCTTAATGCCACTGTGATACTTGAAATCAGATGCAACCCTCAGATAGATGGTAGACAAGATGTTCAAGTTACCGATGATATGCATGATCTCAGGAATGTTTCTTCTAGGATGATCAATATTCAACGATCAATTTCTAATCGCACCTCTCATTGCCAGCAGTCTGAAAACCTTCTGAGGCGGATACCTAAAGAAAATGCTATTAAAGGAAGTGGCTCGAGCCTTGCTAGAGAGCTACAGTTTGATTCTCTCGCTACGGAAAGAGGTATACTAATTAAGCAGTTCACAGCTCCTCAAAAGCGGGGCCGTATGATCCTTTTGAACTAACTAATGGCCTTGCAGATCGCAAGGGAAAAGGGTCAGAATGTGCATGGGTAGGAGAGGGATCTTCTTTGCAACAACATGGCGACACAAGTCTTGTATCTGGAAGGAAGGATTATGACGAGCAAAGTCATAGTAAAAGCTTAGTCAAAGGTAAAGTTTCCCTTGCTCATGTCATTCAGCAAGCTGAAGGTTGTGCAAACCATGGTGGTTGGTCCAGACACAGAGCAATCTCAATTGCCGAGAAACTTGAACAAGAAAACATGTGAGTTCCTAACCATTCTTTGCAAGTTAATTTTAACGAAACTCAAAATAGAATTCAGAGCATCTACTGGCACATGATCCTTGCAACAGATTAAAATCTTCCGTCAATCTAATCTTGGTTATTGCAACTATGAATGTCATTAGCCTTTTTCATGTACATTACCTAACATGCTTACCGGCATTTGTCTTTGAAAAGGCTTAGCCTAGATCGTGCCATTGTCTATAGGATAATTCATTGGATTTCTTGTTATTTGTTCACCATATTAAATTTACTTGCATTTAGGTTATTACCTCAAAAAACCACCAAGTGTAGGAGTCGGGAATTGCTTCTACATCGTACATTGATATTTTCCATTCTATGAAGAACAAAGATGATTTAGTTTCATTATTTGGTTATATTCTCTTATATTTAAGTTTTTATTTACAGCCAATGAGTACAATCACAGTGAAGGAAAAGTAATTATTTCCAACCTTAAAATATGGTGAACATTTAAGGGCTAGTTAAACGTCTCCAAATATTAAAAGATAAAAAAGGAACCGTCCACCTTGGTCCAAAAGAACTTTTTGGATTTATCGAAAGAAATGCTACAGAATAAGTTTCTTTTGGATGATTTCAAGCCGCACATATCAGTATTTGATTTTCTTATCACTGATGTGCAAATGAATTATAAGGAAATAATATACTAAGTCTTTTTGTGTTTTGATGTTGGAATGTTGTTTGCTAGAAAGTAGAAGTATTAGATTATTAAGTAATCATATCCTGCTACACTTGCCTTCTCAAGCTTTTAAAATATTTGGATTATATTTCTCTTAGGAAAAGGTTTTAAATCATTTTAAGCTTGAAACAAAGGGGAAATGTCACGACCCGTCCCGGATGCTCGATCTAACGAGGCGGGTACGAAAGGTCGGACGATAGTACATTTCCAAAAGTATAAGATAACTAGTCCTCAAAACTTTTACAAAAACTGAAGAGCCACTAAACACAAAAATCTATTTTACCTGTTGTCATTTGCACCTCGCCTTCTGTAAACATGTTCTTCTCTTTCAGCCATTACTTCTCTTAGGAATTACCTGAAACATTTAAACTCGTGGTTTGAGTTTACTAAGTAAACTCAGTGGGAATTATATAAATTTATCTTTATAAAAAAATGGATTAATATATGTTCTTTCTTTTCTTAATCTTTTTCTTTTATTTCATTAACTTATACTTCTTTGGATATTTTCATTTTTACTATTTCGAAACAATAATAACCTTAATCACACATGCAAATCAGTAACTAAAATAAAGAAATAGGAGATGTAGGAGAGAAATTGCCGGATGTATATCCAACAATGCACATAAATTTGATATAGAATCTAAATTTTGTCAAGCCCATAGACTGAAATTTACTACGTCTAAGTTTGTGGTGAAATCTAAATTTTATCAAACCATATGCTTAAAAATTACATGTTTAAGTTTAGAGGGAATCAAAATTTTATTAAACCATAAACTAAAGTTTTACTTGTCTTCAAGATCCTGTTTATAATAAAAAGCTGATAACCGGTAGTTTATCAGAATCTCCATAATTTGGCTAAAAAATAGAAGTTTTAAACCCTAAAATTCCATTTCTAGCAAATAACTGCAATTCGAAATACACCCGATCCTATAATTAGCCAATTATGAATCCTACTATAGTGTCCAAATTTCGTATAGGAGTAAAGCATAACTTTTGATTCCATTTACAGTGCAGAATACAACACTACAATAAATAGGCATATGCACAATAACTCAAATTGTCATGGCAATGCTAGGAAGTGCTTGCAAAAATTTAGGAAAAGTCTTGGGTAAAATTTGATTTCAGCAATTTCAGAAAACCAACGACAAAAAAATCAGGAATAGAACACACAAAACATTTTTTTATTGAATTTTTTATGAAAGAAAAGATAAGATACAAGTGGATATTCAACTGGAGAGGAAGATATTGCTCTCCCAAATCTCTAGCTGCCAACTAGAGCCCAAACACCCCAAGAGCAATCTAATTTTAGCAAATAACACATACCCCCAACTCTAGAAAAAAAAATCCCTACTTAAAGCACATAATAAACGACAAATACCCAAACGGCCCTCTCCCAATTCCCTCCCAAATCGGCCCTCAAATCAGTCCCCAAATCTACCATCTTCAATTAGAAAATATTTCCTAATTAATCATCTCCAAATCAGCCTCAAAATCTATCCTCTTCAATTAAGAAATATTTCCTAATTAATCCCCTCCAAATCAGCCCCAAAATTTGCCTTATTCGATAATAAATATTTTCTAATAAATCCCCTCCAAATCAATTTCCAAATCAACCACAACATCTGCCATATTCAATTAGGAAATATTTCTTAATTAATTCCCTCAAAATCAACCTGCAAGAGCTGGTCTAGGAAAGGATCGACTGGATTGGTCCAGGAGGGACCCGATCGAACAATACCTCCTCGCAAGGACCCACCTTGTTTGCGAGGTGGAAAAATAGCTCCCTCCTTAATTTGCTCGTTATCACAAACGGTGAGAATCTGAAGAGTTTGGTCCTTACACCTGTGCCCTGGTGTTTAGGGTGAAAACCATGAGATACCTCTTATCACATCTGAAACACAACCTTTTTGCCCTCTTCTCTTGTAGCTCTGTTTTTGTGAATTTCTTGAAGTTTTTCCCGGATCTTCCTCCTACAGTCTTCTCCTTTGGAGTCTCCCTAAGAGTACCCGGTGTCGGCTCCTTGGATGCTAAAAAGGTTGTGGTTATCCTGTACGAACCTCTTGAGCTACTACTACCAACCCATCTCTCCAGGTGCCTCTGATCCTCTACTAACTAGGCTAGCTCCATAGCCTCTCCCAAATCACGAGGCCTCATCACTAAACTGCTGATCGAATCTCTGGTTTGAGCCATTTCATAAAGTTTCCCTCCAGTACAATATTCGGAAGCCGATCCAGTCGTCTGGCTAGTTGCTTAAACTGCTCATGGTACTTCACCACCATTCCCTTGTGCGTTGAAGCGAAGAACTGCTCATAGAAATTTCCTCCCCTTCTAGTTCGGAAATGTTACAACAAGCAGTTCTTAAACTCTCTCTAGGTCTGTATGGGTCACCTCGTATCCCTCCATTAGTACCGTGCCAACACTTTACCCTCCAAGTACATCTTAGCCGCCATCAATCTCTCCTCCTTCGTCAATCTATTGACGGTAAAGTATCTTTCCACCCTGTATATCCACCCATGTGCATCATCTCCCTCAAAAATATACATCTTCAACTTCCTCACTCTCGGATCTCCTCTATTCCCCCTATTTCCTCCATAATTTTTCATTCCCCAAGGAGGTGGTTACCCCCAGGTTTCTCAATCATCCTTTCTACGCTCGTATCCAAACATTTCGTCAAATTCTCACATTCTCCTTTCAAATTCAGCACCCATTGGATCATAATCAGCCCCTCTCCTTTCAAATTCAACGTCCCTTCGATCATAATTAGCCCATCCTTTCAAATTCAACACCCCTTCGATCATAATTGGCTCCTCCCCTTTCAAATTCCGTCCTCTCCTCTCAAATTCAGCACCCCTTCTTTCATGTTTTACCTCCTCACACCTCTCCCCATACCCTCTACTCATCCCCTCCTTAGGAATAAGCTCTAGGGAAGGCATTCTCTCTTCACTCTCCAAAATCTTCACCTCCTGATCTTCCCCAATTCATAATTTCAGCCTTGTTCCCATATTACAGGTCACCTCTAAATGATGAAAGTGCGCACTTTCTATAAACGGGTAGCTCACAAAATTGGTAAAGGAATACGGGTAGTAGTATTTTTAAACTGAAGAATTAACTTACAAGTTTATTAAATAAAAAATCCCAAGTTATAATCATCTTATTGCCATTAATCTTAATATTGTTCTTGAATTAGTTTACATTTTCAGTTTATAAAATTTCATCATATCGGTTGTGTTCATAATATTATCCTTATTTTACAGGAGATTAGAATCCCGATCAAGAAGTTTGCTATGCTGGAAAGGCCCAAGAGTCACTCGATCAAAGGTAGTTTATTAACAATATTTGCTTCTCTTGAAAAATTGTTCTGCGCATGATCCGTTTTCAATTCAATGAATGTCTAACAAAAAATATATGCACTAGTTTCAGCAGCTTATTTTTTTTTTTTAAATTGAAAATCGGGCAAAATTCTTTGCATTAATTGAAGGAATCAGGTGTGAGAATACCACCTTATATTAAGGAAAATATATGGAGAGCTGACTAAGATAAAGGGACAGCTGCATTTCGAGAGCCAATGTTTGAATTTAAGCTAATTCGGTTCAACTCCTAGTGAAGATTTGAATATTACTAACCAATTAAAAATGAGTGATCCCTATACAGTAAAAATTCCAACCAAAAGGTGACCAAACGATTAAGCTTTGAAGTCATTGAAATGATTGGGATGAAGATTTGTTAAGGGAAAATTTTGGATTGAAATATATTTCCAAAATTTGAGTGTTGCGCCTTTATTAATATTCTAAGAGATGAGATGAAAAAGAGATTAAGAATCTTATTTACCATGCTTAATTAAATGAGAAACATGTGTTTTGTAGTCAGGTTGACCCCAAACAAAAACCTGACTTGAACTTGGTGCAAAAATTTCGGATTTGGGTCACTTGTAACATTCAAGTTTTGTTGTTGTACTTATTTAAATGTAATTTTACAACCAAAAAATAATGTGAGTACAACAGAGGCAATTACAAAAATTGCCATAGATGACTTCAAAAGAGGAGCAGTAATATTATTGTTTAGAGATTAATATATATATATATATATATATATATATAGAGATATATATATATATATATATATATATATATATAATTTTACAAGAAAGGAAATAATAATGAAAACATGTGATGAATCAAAGTACTGGTTATTGTTGAATAAATAAAAAAAAGGAAGAGAGATGCATCTCTTCACGCTCTCAATTTAGCCCCACTGTAAGCAACTGATTGTCAAAAGACGCAACTTTTCATTGCTACAATCGCCTTCAGTAATCTTACAATTAAAGAAGAAAAAAAATGAGAGCTCACACTTTCAATTCCTTCTAAATTCTTGTTCTTTGATCGAGCTGCTCTCTACTGTTCACTTTGTACGTAAACGTCACACGCATGGACTACGAAGGGTTCTCGTTCACGACCCACCTCCTATTTTGTGATGATTAAGTTATAATTGATTACTAATTTTGCGTGGTTCATATTTTTTGTTGATTTCTTTGAATTTATTTGATCATTTTATCATTGTTTGGGTTCTATTTTTAGATTTACTTGTTGCATTTAAGGAAAGCACATTATTGGCTAATTTAGTGGTTTGTATGATATGCATACATTGCATCTTTCTTGTTATCTTAGAAAACCATAACCCTAAATCATCTTGCATCACTCTACTATCTTATAACTCAGAGCTGAAAAAAAAGAAAAAAAATCTTATAATGCAGAGCTGGTTATACTATTGCTTCATTGTTTCATGTACTTTTTTCATTCTTATCGACTCTAATGCCATTATGACACCATTTGTTATCTTTTGTAAAATTTCATTTAAAATTTTAAATTAAAATTATTTTTCTTTACATAAAAGAAAAAAAATCTTATTTTGGGGAATGGGGGAATGAAGAAGGGTGAAAGGAAGCGGAGAATGTGGGGATTTAGGGGTTGAGGGAGGCTATAATGGAAATGATACTGATAATAACAGGTGAAACATATCAGCTATAAACAGTAAAAGGATATTTACTTTGATATGAATTTCTATTTTCCCATGAGATTCAAGTGTGTGATTTAACTTCATTCTCTGCAGTTTCTTCTTTCAAGAAATAGGACAAAGAATTCAAGATCCCTGCTGAAACTTTTAACCTGTAGTAGATGTTTATCTTCTAGATCTGCAAGGTAAAAGCACCTTTTGGTTATCTGCCTATATGATGTATAAGACCTTTCTGCTTTACTACAGTTTTAGTTCATGTCACACTTGTTTTAATCTTTTCAATGTGTTCTTTGATCAACCTTTTAAGAATGTGTACATTTATCATTATGCTTATGAATAAATCAATCTCCCAGATTTTTTTTAATGTTGTAACTTGTAAATCATTTGCCTATGCTAAGAAAGATAGAGGTAAATTTAAAAAGACATGGTTAGAAAATATTAGAAATGACATTTTTTTTGTTAGATTTAAATGAGAATTTGACTCTTAATTGAACACAATGGAGAAAAAAGATTTATGTAGCCGACTCAACTTAGTGGGATAAAAGTTGTTATTGTAGTATCTTGTAAAGTGTTTGAACTACTTCATATTTGTTCATTTTTTAAGATGCTATAAGGCTTCATTTGGGACGGCTTTCTTACTGCTTCTTAAAACAGTTTTTTAGTTCAAAAATTAAAAAATTAATACTAAAAAGCTGCTTCAAGAAGCAGTAAGAAAGCCATCCCAAATGAAGCCTAAGAAGGATCTTCAGTCTTATCTGCTCTGAAAAATATTGGTTGACCAGGCCAAAACTCATTTAACTGGTGACTGCTGATTCCGATTAATTTTGTCTTCTGAAGTTGTTGAAGACTGCATTCTTCAAATGAATTTTCAAGTTATTTCTTTGTTTCTACATTCTTTATGGATTAACACTATGAATTAGTCAGCCTTTTCATAAAATGTTTCATCCTAACAAACCATTTGATGCAAACTATGATATTTACTTCCATGAATGGTTAAATTGCTAGCTGGGTTCTAATGATTAATCATTGTTTTGGAATGTCACCTATCCATCAAAATAGCTATTTGGATAAAATTATGCTTCAATGGTGATTCATGGTGCCATATAACATCAACAGAAAGAAAAAAAGTTGTATTATATTTCTGCCCCTCAAATTTGGGGCTGTTAATAATTGGCTGCTTAATATTCAAAATCTGTTATTATGCCCTTCAAGTTTTGGAGAAATTCCAAAATTTAGTCCTTTGTTTGTATGCTATAGGTACCATTAAGGCTTTGATAGACTTTGGAAGAACGATAAACTGTTTTTCTCCAATTCTTTAACTTACAAATCGTGGAATATGGGCTGATACATTGTAAGGGGGTGGGAAGGATTTAGTGAAGTTGTGCTTGATGCATATAGAGGGGTGTACCTTTTGATGGACATCGGAGTGAACTTTAGCGCTCCACCCTTTTAAACAACTCTATAGTCCCTAAAGAAAAAAGCAAGATAAAAAGTTGATTTAGTTGATTTTTTCCAACTTAATTACTAAATTTGATCTGTTTGAAGGATGCTGCATTTAGCTTTGGCTTACTTTCTTTCCAAAATAGAACAAATAAATTTCCACGGAATTGATTAGTGACTCAAAAATATGACCCAGGATTGCTTCTCGGCATGCAGCAATTTGTCGAAAATACTCGCGGCATAATCTATTGCTTTAGCTTGTATTGAGAAGGTCAATCACCACTCAATCTAGACTTCAGTCTCTAGGATCCTAAAATGCCTCAATTTTTTTAGTCCGGATGATAAGCAAACTCCAAAACTAGTGGATCCTTCTAGATAGATTGAAACTTATAGGAATTGTTATGTATTAATTTATATGTTTTAAATATTTCTTTTATTTAAAATGCAAAAGAAATCACCACATTTTTTCATGCTCACCCCTCACAGGCATTGCCTCATCCACCGGCATCCCCTTTCGGCCACGCTCTCTTGTTCTACTTGCTTCTTGTGCTAGTATTGCCTGCATTGCTTGCTTGCTTTCACCATTTTTTGAATGTATTTTTGACACTAGGGTCTTTTATGCCCATTTGTTCTCTTTAGGTCATTATGGGATGTCTTTCACATTCATTCACTTGGTCCCTCTGTCGTGCCTTCACTCAATAGAGACTTTTTTGGGATTTGTTGTCTCTAGATTGATGCTCTAATATTAACTTTGTCAGATTTCCTTAGATTACTCTAGATCTCCCTAGTTCATTCAGTCTGCGGCACATACGCTAGGGTTGTTTGTTTGTTTCACTTGGTTTAATGTGCACTGAGCTTTGAACATTCTTATGCTGATTGACTTGGTTAGATTTCTCTTCATGTATTTGGACATTCTCTTGTTGATTGCCTTAGTTAGATTTCTCTCAATGATTTGGACCCATTCATTGTCTTGATTCATCCTATTCTATCTATGAACCAAGCATGTCTCTGACGAGGTCACTTACTTGATCATTGTACACACACTCTCCACTTGAGTTTTCTTATGCCAAGACCTTGGCATGGTTTGAAGTTATGAATTAGACTGTTCCTACAAATTTTTAACGATGGTGGTGTTTATACTAACTCTACTGATATGGGGGATAACTTAGCTCTATTGAATATATGGTAGTGCTATTATGATATTTCTTAATTCTTGATCAAATCTTTGAAGCTTCTCTTCATTAATCATGTGTCCTCTATATTTGGTTGATCATGTCATTGCATAAGATAACTATAATAAAGATTGAGAACTTTTTTTTTAATCTAAAAATTTGAAATAATTTGTTTTTGAAGTATGTCATAGAAAATAATATATTATCTTGAAGAAAAAAAAATATTAGTTTGTTTTGAACTCAATAACAAAAGAAATTATTTTTATATTTATATGCCTAGAGATTTTTCACTAAATATGTATGATTGAATAAAGTTTATTTTATTCTGAGATGTAAGTTCCCTATAAGGGCAAGCTTCTATGTTTAATTATATCGTATGTATATTATTATATTTTTGAGAAATGTTTTTATAAAAAAAATGATTTATTTATTTTTATCAAAATATTGACTAATATTTTTATAGGATTTTAAGAATTTCATTTTAAAGGTTTAGTTTTTGAAATTTTAAGAATAATTGGATCAACTTAGAATTGATTTAGAATAGAAGCAAAAAATAGAAAGATATGATTACTTAATTTTGAGAAGTTAGAGGTATGACTCAATATTATTCTATATTGTGCTTTACATTTTGAGATTGAATTTATATTTAAGTTGATGCGACATTACTACTACAACTACACTCTATATATTTCGTGTTAGATCTACTCAAGCAAAAACCTTTATACTCCAAGGTTGACCTCCATAATTTAAGTTTACCTTCAACTCCCTCTCTAGTCTTATCGACAAGAAGAATATCATCAGCAAAAAGCATACACCATGGTACATCATCTTGCAAATGTCTAGTGAGAACATTCATGACTAAAGCAAAAGATAAGGGCTTAAGGCTTATCCTTGATGTAACCCAATTGAAATAGGGAAATACTTGGTTAAATCACCTTGTGTTTGAACAAAAGTAATAACTCCTGCATACATATCTTTAATGATTTGAATATAAACGTTATTAACTCCTTTCTTATCAAGAACTCTCCATAGCACTTCTCTTGAACTTTATCATATGCTTTTTCTAAATCAATAAATATAATATGTAGATCTTCCTTATTTTCTCTATATTTCTCCATCTAACCTATTAATAAATGTATGACTTCTATAGTCGACCTACCTGGCATGAATCCAAATTGATTTTGAGAAACATTAATATCACGCCGCAACCTATGATAAGAAATACTTGAGTTCACAAGTAATCCTCTTGGAAATACTTGAGCGCAAGCAACCCTAGCAATAATCGGTGAAAAATCATTAAGAATAATATGAGAACTTCAAGAAAAAGAATGCTCCAAACAGCAAATTTTTATTAGGGAAATCAAAGAAAATCAAACGCAAAGCAAAGATACAATTGATCCTCAATTTGAGAGGAGGATCGTCTCTCCCAAAATCTCTAGAGAAGAGTCTAGAGCCCAAACACCAAAGAACTCCAAGAGAACAAATAATATAAGCATACCCAACCCTAACCCCTTCATGCCCTTTAAATAGTCCTCTCCACCTCCTTAAAAACTTCATAATATGAGATATTATTTATTTAATACCAAAGATATCAAATCTTTTTAATTAATTAAATCCCTCCACCTCCTTAAAAGCTTCCTAATATATGATATTATTTATTTAATACAAAAGATATCAAATCTTTTTTATTAATTAAATCCACTTTCCCTGTTAGCTTGTTGCCTCTCCTCTTTTTGCCGCCAAAGTGGACCCCACCCCTAGGTGAGGAGGTTTGGGCCGCCTGTGATACCGCTGGCTTTTTAACTTCGGTTTTATTAATATGCCGATACAAACATAATTATTTATTTTCATTTAGGGTGCTAAGGTCACTACAATCATCTTAATTAAAAAGTTTAGCAAAATATCTCATCCACCTTTGTTGAATATCATCTTCTAAGAAAAATACTTTTTGATATTCATCCTTAATACACTTCACTTGAACTAAATCTTTATTACTTCTATCTCTTTGTTTGGCTAACTTATACATATATCTTTCTCCCTCAGAATCCAATATATTATATAAAACACTAAAAACTAAGATCTTTGCATTGTATATTGCTTTTTTAAATTCCTTACGTGCCTCTTTATATATTTCTCAATTATCCAAGTTTTTATAATTTAACTAATTTTTATAACAAATATTTTTATTTTTAATTTTATCTTGTACATTTGGATTCCGCCATCAACTATTTTTACTATTAGGAGTTGTTCACTTTAAAACTCCACGCACATCTTTTGCAATATTTTTAATATAACTAGCCACTTTTTCTCACATAATATTAGGATTTTTATGCACAGACAAAATCTTAAGGTCTTAAATCTTACTCTCAAAAATATTATTATTAATATTTTTTAAATGCCCTCATCTAATCATAGAATATCATTTTACTTTATTTTTTATTTTCTATCCCTTTATCTTAAATTCCAAAACTAATAACGATGCTGTGTACATAAATTTTCACTCGGAATAACTTTACTATTTTTGCTATCTAAACAATCTAATTTTTTATAAGAAAATAGTCAATCTGAGTTATGCTATATTTATTTTTATAAGTGATGAGATGTTTATTCCTTTTCTTAAATAAGATATTAGTAATTAAAAAATCATAAGCTAAACAAAAATCTAATATGGTCTTGTCACAACCATTTGTTGTTATAAACTCATGGCCACCATGAATGCTTTTAAAATCATCTATCTCTCTACCAATATGTCCATTTAAATATCCTCCAATAAAAACTCTTTCTTCAAGAGGTATTTTTTATATTAATTCTTCTAAGTCATTCCAAAAATTTAATTTTGAACTCATATTCAAACCTACTTGAGGAGCATATGCACTTTATAATATTAACAATCTTAGCATTAATAATAATCTTTAAATTTATTATTCTATATCGAATTCTATTAATTTTTTATAATATTATCCTTCAAACTCTTATCCATAATCACACCTACATCATTTCTAGTATGACTCTTACCCGAATACTAAAGTTTAAATCTTAAACTATCAATCTCCTTAGCCTTCTCTCCAATCCATTTAGTTTCTTGAATGCACAAATATTTAACTTCCTATAAATCATAATATATATTAATTCCATTAATTTTTCTATGAGGGAACCTATATTCCAAGTCCTTATTCTAATTTTAGTTTCATGGACTAGCTTATTTACCCACATCCGTCCTCGATGTGGGAACCCTTGCCTATTCAACACTACACCCGGGCGCCAGTGCAGCGACCCTTGTACACTTGTCACTGTATTTAGGCCATATAGCATGTCGTTTCCAGGGGACGCCCTAGCATTAACAAAAATTTCTTAAAGGATTCATGTCATTATTATTCGACAAGTTTTACACTGATTGTCGACTACCTTACGCAACCCTTCACTTTTCTCATCTAGGACTTGGGATCTGGCAATGACAGTTTTATATACAAATAACACAAAATTGAAGATACACTATAGAAAGTGATGACTTAAAATGTAATTAAGAAGAACATCATCGTCTGACTCTAAATTTAAGAAAATAATCTCGGATGGGTAGTAGTTCAAATATAAATCTACCAAAATTCATAAGACTTACAAACTTGAAATCTCACATACGGTTTTAATAAGCTCGACTTATAGTTTTACTATTTTGCCTAGAAAGTATGACCGGCTAAATTAACCTAAGCGCTTTCAAAATCATATAATCTTAGTCTCAATGTATATGTAAGATAGATAAGACTATTTTGATTTTAGAAAAGATGATTTACAGCTTAGCCATTTAAGCTAAGATACCTAATCATAAGGGTATGTATATGCTAACTTATAATACAAATTTTTTTTTCCTAATCTTTAATGTGAGAGTTTTAATTTCTATATGTGACTTTCAAGACTATGCATATAATATTCATTTGCGAATACAAATGTTTGATGCTGATTGATAAGCATACCTTTTTAATGAGTAAATAGTAATTAATCAAATACTAGATTACATACTAAAATTTGTAAGGAGGTTTTGGACTTAATTTTGATTTTGAAGAAGTTAGATAATTTTTGAATACACTGTGCAAGTTTATTTGAAAATATGATCTTATGATTAATTTTAAAGGCTTTTACATTTTAATGGATACAACAACAACATCAAGCCTTTATCCCACTAAGCGGGGTCATCTACATGAATTCTTTTTCTTCATTGTGTTCGGTTAAGAGTCAAATTCTCATTTAGATTTAATAAAGAAATGTCATTTCTCATATTTTCTAACCATGTCTTTTTAGGTCTACTTCTATTTTTCTTAACATAGGTTAAATCTAATACATCTACTCTCCTAACTGGGTCATCGAATGACCGCTATTTTTGTGACCAAACCATCTAAGGTGACTCTCTCTAATCTTATCTACCACTAGAGCTACTCTAACCTTTTCATGTATATGCTCGTTTCGTATCATGTCTCTAAGAGTCAAGCCACTCATCCACCTGAACATCCTCATCTTTGCAATACTTAACTTAATATTATGCTTCTCTTTTAATGGCATACATTCTGCGCCATAAGGCATTGTAGGGCTCACCACCATCTTATAGAATTTTTCCTTAAGTTTGAGTGGTACTTTTCTATCAGACAACAAGTCCGATGCATTCCTCCACTTCAATCAACCAACTTGAATTCTACTAATAATATCCCCATCTATTTTACCATCACTCTGAACAATAGACCTAAGATATCTAAGCATGTAATATTTAATTATGACTTTATCGCTTAAAGTCACAAATCCCTCACTAGATCTTTTACTACTAAAATTACACTCAATATATTTGGTTTTAGATCCACTCAAATGAAAATCTTTAGACTCTAAGGTTGACCTTCATAATTGAAGTTTACCTTCAACTCCCTCTCTAGTCTTATCAACAAGAAGAATATCATCAGCAAAAATCATACACCATGGTACATCCTCTTGCAAATGTCTAGTAAGAACATCCATGACCAAAGCAAAAAGATTTGGGCTTAAGGCTGATCCTTGATGTAGTCCAACTGCGATAGGAAAATGCTTGGCCAAAGCACCTTGTGTTTAAATACAAGTAACAGCTCCATATATATCCTTAATGACTTGAATATAAGAATTATTAACCCTTTTCTTTTCTAGAACTCTCCATAGCACTTCTCTTGGAACTTTATCTTATGCTTTCTTTAAATCAATAAAAATCATATGTAGATCCTCCTTATTCTCTCCATACTTCTCCATCAAGTCTCTTAATAAATATATAACTTCTATAGTAGGCCTACCCAGCATGAATCTAAATTGATTTTGGAGAAACATTAGTATCATGACATAACCTATGCTTCATAACACTCTCCCATAGTTTTAAAGTATGACACATCAATTTAATTCCTCCATAATTCACACAATCTTGTGCTTCTCCTTTATTCTTAAAAATGAGAATTAACACACTCATTCTACACTCATCTGGCATCTTTTTAGCCTTCAAAATAATATTAACAGGTTTAGTAAATATTATTACATTTTAATAGATAAAAACTTAATTTTCTAAAAGCAGGCGATGGCTATATTCATAGTCTAATAGATTTACTATCCCTTTCTATGAATTCACACATTTCTGATTCTTTTTAAGCATTGCACAACATATATATGACATACATATGTATATTAAGGAGTAAATAAATTAAGTAATCAAACATATAAAAAGTATTTTATACTTTCAAATGATATCGATGGTTTTTAGAAGGGGATCATGTCATGATTCATGTGAGGTCCAAATAGTTTCCTTAATGTAATAAGGAGAGAAACTGCAATATTTGGATAGGATGAATATATAGATGTTTATTTGTATTTTTCTTTCAAGTGAGATATTTTATCCCACATTTTCTTTATATATATATATATATATATATATATATTTTAAGTTTTTGGCACCTTATCTTTTGGGAGGCAATCTTTTTTGTAAGATATGCTTTCATATATGATAATTTTTTTATTTGTTGTGCGAGTTTTATACAAGTGTGATCTTTAAACATTTTTTTTCGCGTTGTGATGCTTCGGCTATACTCCAAGAGAAGGGGGTGATGATGCCCGAGCGGTGAAATGTTGTTGAAAATCTATCAAGATTCAGAAAATACCATTAAGGCTAAGGTAAACGCAGCCCAAACAAATATTTTTAGCTTCTATAGCTTTCATTGATTTTCCTTACTGTTTGGCCGTGGTCTCTACGTCTCTTAGATCTTGTTGTTCTGCGTCTCCGTGTAATCTTTTTTTCTTTATCTTGACAATACATAGCAAATTCTATGGGGAAACTTGACTGATCGAAGACTAATTCCTGACATGCAACCAAAAAAATAAGTTTTTACATAGCTCTATACCAGAAAAAGGAAGATCACTTGAACTGTGTGTAAATTGATAGTGATTTCCATGGCTTTCTATCTTAGTAATAGTTCTATATAGTTGATGTTTGCTTTAGAGTGATAGTTGAAAAATGAGCAATGGTAGTTAGAAAGTTTTATTTTGATTATGAACTTTTTCTATTTAATTGGGTCAAATTTCGAGAGCTTATGTGATGCAAATTATTGATGGGCTAACTTTAGTGTATGTAGCCGACCCCACGTAGTGGGATAAAGGCTTGATGTTGTTGTTGTTGTTGTTGTTGTAACTTTAGTGTATGTGGAGTCTATATTTATAACTTGTCATGTCTTTTGTTTAGAGTCATGAGTCTTTTATGTTTGTGTCATTTACTTCATTTTTATGTCAGACTTTTTCCTTATAATCTCATATCATGTTATAATCTTGATGTAAGAACCTTCTCTATATAAAGGGTGTTTTAGAAGCGTAGGGAGAAATTGAAGATTTTCGAATGAAAAACATAGTTGTTTGACTTCTCATTCTCCTCTTCTTTTTTTCTCATCACCGTGCGCTCATTCTCTCTCCTCCTCTATGGTGGTTATTCCTTCTTCTCATCTCTTCTCCATTGAATTATGCACCCATTCCTTGAAGTTCTTAATCATTTAAGGGCCATTCCATTTCATTCCCCTTATCATCATCAATGAACAATTGCATTCCCCTCTTCATGATCATGGAACAAAATGATAGTTATTAAATATTAGGTGTATAATATAGATTTTTACTTCGTATAGTATAAAAACTTATTATTTGATTTTATTAGAAGATAGTGATATTTAGATGTGATAAATTTAAAGCATTTTGTATCTATTATTCAATGAAATTGCCATAAATATGAGAATTCATAAATTTAAAGATTGAGTGATTAAAGTGTAGAAGTGCCTCATGGAAATTTGTGATCAGAGGATGTTAAGGAGATTTAAAGATAAATTTTATATGATTTATATGATTCGGTGTTAGATTGTAAAGATAATAAAAAGATTTTTTATGGCTAACACGAAGGGTAGAAAATGCACTAATTAGATATCTAGATAAAATTAATGTCAAAGGATTAGAAGCAAGAAAAGGGGTTAATCTAAGCTATCATGAAAGAAGTTAAGAAAGAATTTCATTTAATATGTTTAACACTTCAATCAACATTTAAAATGAATGAATGAAAAATGAGGATTCATAAAGTCAATACGAAAAGTGTTGGGACAAGCTATCCTATTGGGATGAACTCTGTCAAGTTTCAACATCCGCGACGGTAAATTTCAGCTGTAAGCATTCAAGTCGTAATAAAGAATCATCAAATGTACTGTGCATTTGCAGAAATAATGGCTTGTTAGCAACCATTGATTTAAGACTGAGAAAACCTTTGTTTGAAAACAATCGAATAGTTATTCCATTGGGTTTGTTTGTTGTGAAATCATAATCTGCGTTGGAAAAAGATTGTTTTAGCATGGTAAATGGTATAATCCTAAATGCTTAGCTATTGTTACTGCTTACTACTCAGTGTTCTTTTACTTGGAGCTTCCTGAAATTTCAAATGCATTGAAAGTTTGGAATCAGGAGATCTTTCTTTTACTTTGAGCATATTAAGCTTGCATAGAGACTTGGAATGAAGTGATCCAAAGTCGTCTCTTTTCATCTGATTATATCCTTTTCTGGAGCAGAATTAGCATTAAATCTTGCCCTTGTACCTATCTATGAGCTATCTTTTCAAACTTGTAGAAAATTTGTAAGTTATGTATCGTTTACTTCACTTTATATTTTTCATTTTGGGAGCTACTGCCAAGTTTGAATACTGGACACTTGGAAGAATTTTCATTCTGTGTGATTAGAGAAATTATTTTGTGCGGAGACCGGATGGCGAGAGCCGTCAAGATTTGCTGAGTTTTTGTAAATACTCAGCAAAAGAGCAGCAAATATGCATTGATGAATACATATTTGCTGCCTTTTTACAAAAGCACAACAAATATTTAATTTATAGGATATTTATTGCGTTTTGACTGTCCTTTTGCTAAGTATTTGCTAAAGCGAAGCAAAAGGATAGTCAAAGCACAGCAAATCCGAACAGTTCTATCCGTCCGGTCTCTGCACTGAGATTGTAAATATTTGAAAACTAATAGTTTGGAAACAAGTAAAAAAGAAATCCTTCAATTTATGGTGCTTTTTTCAGCAATGAGCAACCTCTCTCTTCTATTTATGTTTCAATATTCTTCTCTTATATGTCCTTTGTAATTCAACTTATTACACTTTGTGCCCCCATTAAGTTTTTTTGAGCAACAAAATAAACATCATGACATATATATGTTGAAAAAAATTGCTGCATGCTACTATTTTGATCACCCTTAAGATGAATATAATACATAAATAATTTATATTGCACTCATCTTAAAGTAGATCTAAGAATTTCTATTCGCAGACGAAGTCTTTGTCTTCAAGAATAGATTTTCACCCATTTGAGTAGAACTCATGGTGCAGAGAAAGTCCTGGTGATCTTCATGAAGATTTGTACTGAGCATACACATGAGCATGAACAACTCTTATCCATAATATTTTAGAAAATAAAGAATTGGAGAAAAATAAATATTGAAGCTTTTTTATTGAGATTAAGATTTTGTTTGGGATGATTTTTTAATTGCTTTCTCAAGTAGTTTTTTAGTAAAGAAATTTCTTAAACTAAAAAATTTGTATTAGAAAATTGCTTCAGAAAGCAGTAAAAAAATCATCCCAAACATCTTGATCTCCTCTTGAAGCACGCAAATGAGCTTCTAACCCATTTAGGCTTCGTTTGGGACAGCTTTTTTTTTACTTCTTGAAGCAGCTTTTTAGTATAAAAATTAAAATTTTTGTACTAGAAAGCTACTTCAAGAAGCATTAAAAAAGCCGTCCCAAACGAAGCCTTACAGAAAGCAGTAAAAAAGTCATCCCAAACATCTTGATCCTCTTGAAGCACGCAAATGAGCTTATAACCCATTTAGTTTGAAATTATAATTCATATTTTCAAAAAGGCTTGAATTTATATTAGATAAAATGAAAGCATAACAATTATCAGAGCCCTACATGGGGTCTTAGTTGGGTACCCATTGGGTACCCACGCTTTGCGTTGGCGGGCTTTGCCCACCCACACCCACCCACTTTCCATGCTTATTGAATGTAGTCTGCCATAGATTAATGGCCTTAAAGTTTTTTTCCATTTTCTTCGACTGCAAACTTTCAAGCCACATATCAAAATTTATCATGGTTGTGCCGCGGTTCAGTGTTGCACATTGCGTAGTAAGGATTATTGTAATTTTCATATAAAAATAATTGATAATTTAAAAAAAAAAATCCTCTAATTCTTCATAGACTTGGACCAATGTGGACATCTATGAATTTCTCTTTTTCAGCTACAGTTATCCTATCAGCTTTGGCCCATAAATTAAGACATGTGATTTGAATTATCACCATTTAAAACTCCATTCAAAGATCTGACCTTTTGACCACCATTATTATTATTGGAATGGAATCTATCTGCTATCACTTTTGAAAGGGCGATCGGTGCCGTGATTAATTCTCGGTTGTTCTAGAAAAGACACTCATCTTAGAAACTTCTTGGCTCGCACTTGATTGAGTCCCACTTAAGAGGCGTTACAGTTCAAGAGGAATTGAGCATGGGTTGGAGGGTTCTCAACCGTACTCGCCCATCAATCAAACTAAGCAACGGCGGATTGCTTTGTTAAGAATTGGAAAGGTCTCTTCAATGACAAATTTATTTGTTATTCTAAGCTTATTTCTGAATTTAGATAAGTCCTGATGATGTAATAGAGATAAGGATGAATAAAAATTTGAATAGTTTAATAAGAAAGTGATAGGAAACCGCGTTTTGGTAGCTTTTTGAAGGACTTTCAAAGCTACAAATCTATGAATTAGGTAAATTTCTATTTGTATCTAAGGCCCAGCTTAGAATTTATATATTTGTGTAAGAGAATCAGCTCAGCTAAATCAATATAAAAATGCTTTGAAAGCAACTTTGTTTGGAAATGAAAGGGATTGGCTCATCACAATAGGTTGGGTTGATTGACTCTTTATAGGCATTTATATCACATAATACTATATTATTCTTCACTTGAAACCAATCATGTTTTGATGGAGGCCAACTAGTTTTCTATGTATATCTCTATATGCATGTGTTCAAAATATTTATCTTTTAAGATTTGTTAATTTGATTATTTTTGGTAATTGATTGGGTTTGCGAGACTAGCGTACAAGAAAACGGGGAAAAAAAGAAGCAGGAAGAAGAAAACGGAATTTTGAAGAAGGGGTAGAATTTTTTCGTTTTGTTTTCGTTTGTCTTACGCAACTCAGAAATAATTATTTTGTTGGTTAGCTAAATCGTGGAATGGTATAAGGAATTGAAAAATATATTAAATTTTTAATCATAAAATAGGCAACAACATCACTAACCTTTTTCAGTTATGTTATGTTTGAATTCATTAGTGTTCTTCATACCATAATGAATGACACTAATGTCATATAGTTAGTGTCTTTTTAAGAGAATATGAGCAACGTTTGAAAGTAGAATGTTGTACTAAATTTTATCTTTATAATTGTTCATTTTAACAGGGACAACATGTTTATTACGTACGTGAACATGTGTATAATTCACCTAGCTAACCTGAAAGGGCTCGAGGTGGGATTCATTTTTTGATTGGCTTTAGCTAATAGGTGTATCTAAATAACATCCATATCATTTCCCCCATCTTTGACTAACATACATATTTTATTATTACAAATTATATACAAGCTAGATATATATTTTTTTCTTCTATAATCTTTAGTCTCCTTCTTAGCACTAAGCTAAGGATCATCTATAAGTTCAAGTTCTTCATCAAACAAAAGTAAGGGCATCATAAGAAATATATTCAGGATCATCATCATTAGGGTTATTAATTCTGCTAGGAATAGAATTTTAGCTTTATATTGATTATGCATATGACCTTTTTTTTCACACTTGAAATAACTGACGTCCCTTGTATTTTTAAGCTCCCTCCAGTAGGATCATTAGTCATAAGGGGTTTCTCCGATGGATGCAGAGGTTTTAGTAGGAGTAATTTGAGAGAAAGTGCATAGGGCTAAACTTTTGGATCTTGTGGGAAACACTTTTTTTTATTATTTACTAAAAGGACATAATAAAAAACTTCTTCTGAAGTTTGATGATCGAACAATTTTACTTTATTTATAATGTATGTACTAAGATTAATGACAAATTTTATAAGCTAACTACCTATTATCATCAGCTTTTCTGGTTTATATGATTGTCGTTGTCCTCCCCTATCTCGATTGCCCTTACTTGCTCCTCTTTCTCTCTCTCTCTCTCTCTCTCTCTCTCTCTCTCTCTCTCTCTCTCTCTCTCTATGTGGCTTACAACTCTTGATCATTCTAGCTATCACTTGCTCATTATTCTTATCCTAATTGCTACCTATCTTTCTTGACCTCTTTGTCTCACTTTTTATTTTGGTTCAACTCCCTCTATCGTCTCTCTCACAATTGTAAGGAGTCGATTATTATCAATTCTAATGAGTTTATATTAACTAATTCATATGTATACACACTAATTGAGATTTTATAGATTAAATTTTATTCTCATCTAAGAAGAAGAATCATTATCTTTCTAATTTTATATGATTTCCAATCATTTTATATTATATTGATGTTTACTATCACATCATAGTTGTTCATCTATAAAAAAATTAATGAGATAACATTTAAAATATATTTAAACATATTTCATTTTACTAAAGTGTTTAATAAATTATATCCATAAAATGAAATATAAATATCATTAATAATTTATATATCAAAAATAAAAATGATTAGGTGGTGTGCAGCACCAACTTTTTTGTTGTGTTTAGATCGCATTAACCACTATGCTTTAGTCTCCCTACTTTATTATGTTAGATCACATATTTAATTAACATTATTTGTACTGATGATGAACTTACATATAGAATGGTTGAAGGGTTAAATAATGGTGTCAAATGAAAAAGATACTTTGACCTATTTCTTAACAATTTAAGCTTTGTTTGAGACGGCTTTTTTACTGCTTCTTAAAGCAGCTTTTTAGTACAAAAAAGTTATTTATTTTTACTGGAAAGTAATTTAAAGAAGCAGAAAGAAAGCCGTCCCAAAGGAAGCCTTAATGTGCGGTCAATATAATTATAAATAAGTTGGTGGAGGAGCATGCAATAATGATAACATCTTGTGGGATAGTGAGCACCATCATGGTGATTGAGTGGAGAAGTTGATGGTTGGATTACTCCGAGTCCAAATCATCTTCTGGTCCGAATAATTTCGATAGTAGTATTAGAAACATGAATATGGAAATAGGTACATTGTTAAGTTGGCACCAGATGGCTTGCAAAAGGGGAGATTGAGCTTGAAGATAGAATGGGGAGGGCAAGTCGTCAATGTAAGATACTTCTTGGTTTGGGAGAAAAAAATTGAAAACCAATAGGGCAATCTTGAGCGGAGGACTATGTAGCTATTAGAAGAGAGAGAGATAAATGATATGTGTATAAACGGAATATAACAAGTGAACGTAAAAATATTGTTGTTTAGATTTGTAGCTTATATCTATAGTGAAATCAAAGAGTTTGGGTATGATGGATAATAGAGGGAGATGGGAATGTTCTCTTATTTACATGAGTTTAGTCTTAATGGTTGTAACCCTCACAAAGTCTTATGTTATACACATAAAAAGTAGTGAATCATGATTTTTATTGATTATCCTAAAGTGTTATTATAATCGCCTAAGAGTGATGTGCGAATATCTTCATTTTT